CGAGCCGCCCCCGGCCAGCTCCCCCTCCGCGCTTCCCCCCCCCCCAGCCTCCCACGCCGGAACCACGAGCAGCCCACAGCCAGCTGCCCCTCCGCGGTCCCGCCGCCCCCAGCCTCCCACGCCGGAACCACGAGCGGCCCACGGCCAGCTGCTCCTCCGCGCTTCCCTCCCCCCCAGCCTCCCACGCCGGAACCACGAGCGGCCCACGGCCAGCTGCTCCTCCGCGCTTCCCTCCCCCCCAGCCTCCCACGCCGGAACCACGAGCGGCCCACGGCCAGCTGCTCCTCCGCGCTTCCCTCCCCCCCAGCCTCCCACGCCGGAACCACGAGCGGCCCACGGCCAGCTGCTCCTCCGCGCTTCCCTCCCCCCCAGCCTCCCACGCTGCCAGGGCCGCAGCTCACGCTTGCCCTTACAAACCGCCTAGCAGCTCCCCTCTGCCCCCTGCTCACTTAGCAACACCAGTCTCCTATGCTGTGCCGATGCCTGAGCTTTGGAGAGCAGCCCTCCAAGGCGGGGGCAAGGTGATGGGCAGGGCTGCTGCGCCCGCTGGGAGGAGAGGGCTCCAGGACTCCAGGGAGGTGCCCGCACGGCGCATTGCTCCAGGAAGAGTGTAGCCACTACCGAATTACCTAGTGTAGCCACTACCGAACTACCTAGTGTAGCCACTACCGAATTACCTAGTGTAGCCACTACCGAATTACCTAGTGTAGCCACTACCGAACTACCTAGTGTAGCCACTACCGAATTACCTAGTGTAGCCACTACCGAATTACCTAGTGTAGCCACTACCGAACTACCTAGTGTAGCCACTACCGAATTACCTAGTGTAGCCACTACCGAATTACCTAGTGTAGCCACTACCGAACTACCTAGTGTAGCCACTACCGAATTACCTAGTGTAGCCACTACCGAATTACCTAGTGTAGCCACTACCGAACTACCTAGTGTAGCCACTACCGAATTACCTAGTGTAGCCACTACCGAATTACCTAGTGTAGCCACTACCGAACTACCTAGTGTAGCCACTACCGAATTACCTAGTGTAGCCACTACCGAATTACCTAGTGTAGCCACTACCGAACTACCTAGTGTAGCCACTACCGAATTACCTAGTGTAGCCACTACCGAATTACCTAGTGTAGCCACTACCGAACTACCTAGTGTAGCCACTACCGAATTACCTAGTGTAGCCACTACCGAATTACCTAGTGTAGCCACTACCGAACTACCTAGTGTAGCCACTACCGAATTACCTAGTGTAGCCACTACCGAATTACCTAGTGTAGCCACTACCGAACTACCTAGTGTAGCCACTACCGAATTACCTAGTGTAGCCACTACCGAATTACCTAGTGTAGCCACTACCGAACTACCTAGTGTAGCCACTACCGAATTACCTAGTGTAGCCACTACCGAATTACCTAGTGTAGCCACTACCGAACTACCTAGTGTAGCCACTACCGAATTACCTAGTGTAGCCACTACCGAATTACCTAGTGTAGCCACTACCGAACTACCTAGTGTAGCCACTACCGAATTACCTAGTGTAGCCACTACCGAACTACCTAGTGTAGCCACTACCGAATTACCTAGTGTAGCCACTACCGAACTACCTAGTGTAGCCACTACCGAATTACCTAGTGTAGCCACTACCGAACTACCTAGTGTAGCCACTACCGAATTACCTAGTGTAGCCACTACCGAACTACCTAGTGTAGCCACTACCGAATTACCTAGTGTAGCCACTACCGAACTACCTAGTGTAGCCACTACCGAATTACCTAGTGTAGCCACTACCGAACTACCTAGTGTAGCCACTACCGAATTACCTAGTGTAGCCACTACCGAACTACCTAGTGTAGCCACTACCGAATTACCTAGTGTAGCCACTACCGAACTACCTAGTGTAGCCACTACCGAATTACCTAGTGTAGCCACTACCGAACTACCTAGTGTAGCCACTACCGAATTACCTAGTGTAGCCACTACCGAACTACCTAGTGTAGCCACGAGGCACAGAGTCCGCACTAGCAGACATTTAAAAATGGCGCCCCCCACGATCATGCAAATGAAGCCCAGGAAATTCCAATCCCAGGCTTCGTTTGCAACTCTGGTTGCCTACATTAACCACTCTAGTTCGAAGTAGGGTGGTAGTGTAGACATACCCTGGCTTTCCTGGCCTTGTGACTGGAGCGTAACTAGCTGGTTTGGGCCCTGGGGCAGGGATTGGCTTCCTCCTCCTGGGCTCTCGGTGCGTCCCCACGGGCGGGCGGCACAAGCCACGGGCCTGGAGCCACGGGCCTGGGGCGGTGAGTGCCGGGGGTGCGCGAGGAGGGGTCCAGCGTGCGCAGGGTTTCCAGCTTGGTCCGACGACCCGCTGTCGGGGGCCCAGGAAAGCCCCCGGCTCTGGAAGTCACATGATCACCGTGGACACCCGGCCTTCGTGGAAACACCTTTCAGCCTTCCTGGCAGGGAGGCGCCGCTGGCAGGAAAGCCCCCGGCTCTGGAAGTCACATGATCACCGTGGACACCCGGCCTTCGTGGAAACACCTTTCAGCCTTCCTGGCAGGGAAGCGCCGCTGGGAAAACGTCCGCGCCCTCCCCGTGCCTGCGCCCGGCGCTA